AATATTTTTATTGGATAAAACGTGAGTTCTGATAGAAAAACTAGAGAATTACCGGCAGAATTCGGATTTTTTCACTCCTGATTCAGAAAAAATAAACTTTCTCAGGTCTCAACTATCGAATGATGTATAAGAAAACAAAAAGAAGAAATGTGCTGAGCTTTTCAATTAGCGGCGCTTTATTTAAGAGAGAAACCAGCTTACCACCTCCATTCCATCCACTCTTCTCCCCAAAACGCTCTTCTATAAATATCACCTCATCATCATTATCACAAACTAAACAGAAAAATAATACACATAACGTGATATTGAATACTTAAGAGAGAAATTAGCTTACCCTCTCCATTCCATCCACTCCTCTCACCAAAACGCTCTTCTATAAATATCAACTCATCATCATTATCACAAACTAAACAGAAAAATAGTACACATAACGTGATATTGAATACTTAAGGGGGGGTCCCCCCACCCGTTTTTTTCCAGCAGTTTGTGGAGGACACTTCGAAGTATACGTCTCAACAAAGCTCTCAGTTCCCGGATTTATAGTTTTTGATAAAAGAAATTTTTAATTTTTTTTCGGGTTTTTTGCCCTATTTTTAAAATTTCAATAAAAACTTCATTTTTTGAGATGAAGAGTGGATTCTAGCGTAGTTCGATAGAGAACATTAATTTGTATAAGGAGGAAAACTTTACATCGTTCCCAAATGAAGTTTGACGGAGAAATTTAACTTTCACCTTCCCGAGGAAATTTTAGGGCTAAAAGTATTTGAGAAAAGCCTTACGGGTAGTTTCGCTCGAAGCAAGCATTTTGAAACAAAACTCTGGATACAAAAGTTGTTCAGAATCAAATTCTGCAGTCCCTCACGAGAGCTTTTTTTAAAATTTTCTTCTTTTGCTTTTTAAATTGAAAAATATGAAATTTTAGGATTTTAAAAACCGTAAAATTTAATTTAAAAACCAAAAACAGAAAATTTTAAATAAAGCTCTCGTGAGGGACTGCAGAATTTGATTCTGAACAACTTTTGTATCCAGAGTTTTGTTTCAAAATGCTTGCTTCGGGCGAAACTAGCCGTAAGGTGGGGTAAAAAATCTTCTCTGAGCCAAAAATCAGTGATATTTTCAAGGTTTTAATTTTTTGTTCAAGCCCTCTCAATTTGTAGAGGATACTTCGAAGTATATGTCCTGAAGTTTCCTCAGCTTACTTACATTATTTAACTGAGAAAATAATTAATTACTTAAAAAAATGTTGATAAATTTTTGAGCAGGGGTTATTATTATAAAATTTTCTGTGCATTCTCCATTCATCATGAAAACTTAGTTCTTGCCTAGATCGATAGAGAAATGTGTGGAGAATATTTGCGACGAGAAAATATGTACAAATTTTTGTTCTTTTCTTCCGGTTATTGACTAATTAGTACTAATTAACGTTAATTCAGCCTACTCTATAGCTTAAAGTCCCATTGGCAAAATAAGGACTCAACAAAAGTTTCAAGGAATACCTCATCTTATAGAGAATTTCACGAGCTACAAGACGGGCTACCCTTAAGTCTGTTTTTATTCCATTAAAATTCTCCACATAGTCTTTGTTTCCAAAAAACATAGCAAAACAGTCTTCTTGGAATTAATGAAGTACCTAATACATAATGAAATTTTATTTCCGACTCTTCTTCGGAGTTTGAATAAGAAAGATCGTCCGACATCTGAAAATTTGAAAATTGCCTTTGCTAGAAGAAAAAAACCCAAGTCTTGAAAAAAGATGTGAAAAAACTTCATGCGCTCATAAAGCCTGATCAATTCTTTAGTGGAGAAAGAAACCAAGCCTACTCAGCAGCCAAACATGAATTCTAAGGTAGCCTATCTTGTAGCTCGTGAAATTCTCTATCAGATGAGGTATTGCTTGAAATTTTTTGTTGAGTCCTTATTTTACAAATGGGACTTTAAGCTATAGAGTAGGCTGAATTAACGTTAATTAGTAGTAATTAGTCAATAACCGGAAGAAAAGAACAAAAATGTTTACATATTTTCTCGTAGTAAATATTCTCCACACATTTCTCTATTGATCTAGGCAAGAACCAAGCTTTTGTGATGAATGGAGGATGGACAGGAGTTTTTTTAATAATAACCCCGTGCTTAAAATTTAACAACATTTTTTAAGTAATTAATTTTTTTCTCAGCCAAATAACGTCAGTAAGCCGAGAAAACTTCAGGACATATACTTCGAAGTGTCCTCTACAAACTGGGAAAGCTAGAGAAAAATCTAAATGGGGGGACCCCACCCTTAAGAGAGAAATTAGCTTACCCTCTCCATTCCATCCACTCCTCTCACCAAAACGCTCTTCCGTAAATATCACCTCATCATCATTACCACCATCTAAACAGAGAACTGGTTAAATACAATACACTAGCAGAAATGTTACACTTCGATAAAACACACCAAATAATGTTGACATATTGTGGAGCCAAAAGCCCTCAAATTCTTCGATGTCATCAGAACCAATAAGTCCCACCAAAATATCACCCAAAACCCCTATAATATTGAAGCCCAAAACCTAACGCACATCCTTCGTCAAAAGAGCACCATATACGTATAGAAGTACATTTCGAGGTTCCTGAGCTAGCGGAAGTAATCGAACTTTCGTCAAACTTTAGAAGGCTTTGATTTTGACACACTTCGATTGCAACCCTCTCAGCGACCTCATATCGAACGATGGAACCTTTATTTTTACACCGTTCGAACCGCCTTGAAACAGAGAACAAAGGTATAGATTTGGGTTTTAATTGTTTTTTTCGTTTCTGAAATGTTATTTTTTCTTTGAAAATGACATATTTTCAGCTATAATCGGCCAAGTGATTTTTTTTTCTAATTTTTCATTTCTCGCCCGAAATCCTAGTGAAAAATGTAGCGACAGATTTTTCAAATTCCTCTTGATTGCTGAGAAAAATCATTTTTTGAGACTATATATGCTACTGATATAAATATTTAGCAGCATACTGATTCCAGTAATTAGCATCGAAGCAGAATGATTTTGCATTTCATAATTATAACTTGAAAAGGTCTATTTATATTTATATTGGTTAACCTTAGAGCAGATATACTACTGGTATTCCCACATTCATTTCAAGAGCACTATTAACCAGATTCTTTGTTTC